CCGGATATATCGTCGGAAAACTTTGTCTTAGTTGGTGTGTCATTATTCGTAGCGCTTTTATATGTACTGAATGGCCACATAATTAATTTGAATTAAAATCCTGTAATGAGCATTATGCTTTAACTATTTTTCCGGAACGATTAAAGGAAAAAAATTGGAGATCAAAAAGGGCCTATGAATAGTTCATGCTCATTTCCGTCCTAAGTGCCGGTGTAAGAATCGAACTATTAAAAGCTCAGTAACAAAACTTTAACTATTTTCTATACAAATAGGTAAATAAATAACAATCACATTAATTATAAGATTAAATATGTAATAATTTATGCAATTTGATCATTAATAACTATAAACAATAATTAAAAACAGCAAATGCTAAACAGATACGTTTTATTTGAAAGCCATGTGACTCAAAGTATAGAGTTAAATAATTAGATGCAATAAATGTGAATTTTGTTAGATTTATCATATGGCTTTAATTATGATAAAGATTGTCTTATTTGATTCCATGCCCTCAATACTCAAATACATTTTTAGATCGTATTGTAAGGTATAAGATAATCTAACGACATTATCAATAAACATTATTCTTAATTATTGCGGACAATAAGAAGCTGTGAGTAAGGATTTTTTAGAAATTCCTGGGGCGTCTCTCCTCAGCTGATCTTATCCCTACTGGTAAAGCCACATTAATATCGAAATTTTATTCATCCACTAGCTTGACAAGTGCTTCTCTTTCAGTATTTTTGCGCAAAACTTCTTCCTTTACTTGGTATCTAGAGCGCATATACCTATCTGAATGGAAGACTATAGTATTGACTATTTAAAAATTTTTACGGGCAATTTCATCTGGTGCTAAAACATGAACACCCTGTGGTACAAAACACAGGCTCACATTCATTCTTGTCTCGTATCTTGTTATAAATAGTTCTGTGTGTAAATTAGAGTTAGTTTCAAAACATGAAGCCTTCTTCCTGATTATTACCAAGTTAACCTCCTATTAAAAGATACAATAAGAAACTGATTTTGGTTAAAATATCACTTCATTTAGAAACGGAAATAAAATGATTAAGTATTGTTATTTCTTGACTATCAGTAAATCAGTTATAAGATGTATTCACCCAATCTCGTTTAAAGTGATGAAGGACTGGTAGAAGTATAATTTTCTCACAAATGATATGAGTTGAGCTGACGTTTTCATTGAATTTTTACATAGCTTTGCTTTCCCAAAAGATATTCTCATCCAGGGTGGACTGCAGTTTCGACCTCGCATTGGTCTTATCAACAACTTAAGCGGGAGTTGAACCGCTACAGTGCAGGACGGTAGCTTGACACGCTAACCACTCGGCCACACGGCCACGAGCGCCTTTTGGGTCACAAAGTAAATGTGAATTTTCAAGGAAGGCTGTGTGTGTTGATTTGACCAATGAGAGGTCGAAACTACAGTCCACCAAGGATGAGAACAACTTTGGGGAAAGCAAAGCTATGTAAAAATTCAATGAAAACGTCAGCTTAACTCATATAATTTGTGGGAAG